ATACGTATTATAAATAATAACTAAAAATATTAATATATATAAAAAACACATTTAAACTTAAAATAAAAATTAAAAAAAATTAGATTTTTTTTTTAATATTACTTAGTCATGGGCCGGTGAAGAGCCACGGGCAGGACAGGGCTAAGCAAACTCCCCAAAATGGAGCTCGGCCCCAACCTTGACCGAGCCCGAGCCGAGGCCTGACTCGGACTTTTTTCGGGTCGAGCTTGAGCAGTCCGAACCTGCGAACTTTTTTGTCATCCCTATCCCCATCTCACTTTCCATCCCTCCCTTCCATTGTTAACCACTAAGCATTCCCAATTTAACCTTTTTAATAGGAGACACTCAGATAAGACTTGGTTGTGTAAAAATGACAAGTGACATTTTTCGAAAGAACTCTGTTTGGCTAATTCATAAATTATTTTAATAAACCTTTAAAGAGTAAAATTACATGTACGAAAATTATATGTGTGTAGTGTATGATGTGATGAGGGTCATAAAACTAATAAAATTATTATCATATTCGCTCATTTAATTGACGATGTGAACTACACTGTCGAAATTTTTAAATACACGCAGTCCCGTGCATTATGTGAGAGGGAATNNTCCCGTGCATTATGTGAGAGGGAATAATCCATTTTGTTTATGTACAAATCATTATGTAACCCATCTTTATATTATTAAAATGGCTCTAAACCTGTGGTGTTAATTAATTTTAATAAGAAGAAAAGCGCAGACTAAGAAGAGTTACTCGTGACAAGTTGTTACGTCTAGACAAATTAGTAAGTGATCATTAATTCCACCCTCTGGCCCTTTGCCTCTACTTTAAGATTCCACCTAACAATACACAAGACAAACCCACCTCCTAAATTAATCTCACCGTCCCAAAAGAACCATTCTGGAGAGAGAAATCGAAGTTTTTTAGGGAGAGAAAAGTGAAGTTCTTCAAGGCCATGAATTTTCACATCTATGGCGTCTCCAGCTTCATCTTCTACACAATCTTCACTGTTCTTGTCATCACAAGTGCCGCATTGAAAGTAAATCAAAATCCATTAGCAAAGAACTCGGTTGCAGGGTCCCCAAACTCAGTCCAGATAAACTCCAACTCAGTTCTTGTAGCCCTTCTGGACTCTCACTACACCGAGTTATCAGAACTCGTGGAGAAAGCACTTTTGCTGCAAACCCTTGAAGAAGCAGTTTCGAAACATAATATTACCATCTTTGCTCCCAAGAATGAGGCTTTGGAAAGGGATTTGGATCCCGAGTTTAAGCGATTTTTACTCGAGCCGGGGAATCTTAAATCGCTACAAAATCTTTTGCTTTTTCATATGATTCCGACTCGCATTGAGTCGACTCGCTGGCCGGTGGAGGTAGAAAAACCCAATCATCATAACAGCTTGGTCCGGGATTCCAATGGCGAAACACTTCAGGTGGTTGAAAAAAATGGTGAAAAACTTGTAGGCATGGCCAAGATTATAAAACCTGATGATATAACCCGACCCGATGGAATTATCCACGGCATTGAGAGAGTTTTGATCCCAAAATCCGTTCAACAAGATTTCAATACTCGCAGGAGTTTGAGGTCCATTTCTGCCGTGCTTCCGGAGGGAGCACCGGAAGTTGACCCAAGAACACACAGACTAAAGAAACCAGCACCGGTTCCCGCCGGAGCGCCTCCTGTTCTACCCGTTTACGATGCCATGGCACCCGGTCCGTCTCTGGCACCGGCGCCAGCTCCGGGCCCAGGTGGACCCCACCACCACTTCGATGGGGAGAGCCAGGTGAAGGATTTCATCCAAACTCTTCTACATTACGGTGGCTACAATGAAATGGCCGACATTCTTGTAAATCTCACATCTTTAGCAACCGAAATGGGACGATTAGTCTCTGAAGGTTACGTATTAACAGTTTTAGCTCCAAATGATGAGGCCATGGCGAAATTGGCTACAGATCAGTTGAGTGAACCAGGGGCGCCGGAGCAAATAATGTATTATCATTTGATACCGGAGTACCAAACGGAGGAAAGCATGTACAACGCCGTGAGGCGATTCGGGAAAATCCGGTATGATACTCTCCGGCTGCCGCACAAGGTGGTGGCGGAGGAGGCTGATGGGTCGGTGAAATTTGGACAAGGTGAAGGCTCTGCTTATTTGTTCGATCCCGATATTTATACAGATGGGAGAATTTCTGTTCAAGGGATTGACGGGGTTTTATTCCCTGTTGAGGAAAATAAGGCTGAGCCGTCTAAACCCGCCTCCACCGTTGCTAAGGTTGTCGGAAAACCAAGAAGAGGTATGTTCTCTTAGTCATTCCTATTTTTCCCCAATTTTCAACGACTCCATCGAAGGATCTTTTTATGTTTCTTAAGTGAAGAAATTGTTTGTGTTAATTCTGTAAGAATCTAGTTGTTTCAGATCATTTGATAGATTTAACAATAAACCAAATCTGGTTGGGCCAAAAGTTTCATATAATGGTAAATTTATCGAGAATTTAGCC